GAATATAAGATGTATATTCCTTTTGGCTTTCTCCTCTGTGATTTAGAATTAGATCTGAAAATACGAGATTTTATCTCTCTGAATACTAGTCCAGCGGGTTAATTCTGTTCCCAGGTATACATTAATTATCCTTAATCCAAAGCCAACCGTAAATGCAAAGATTTGTAGAAAACATTTTTAGACTTTTTTTAAATTGAAAAATCTACATCTAAAATGTTTTAAATCTAAAAATGCATTATAGAAGATAGTGTCATCTTTTTTTTTAAACTTGTGGAGATAATTCCCTTAGGAATCTCCAGAGAAAGTTCTAAATATTTCTTTTTATCACCATACATTAATTTGTGCATATATTGTATCCTAGTATTAGGTAATCACTTCAGTAAGCCTTTTATCTTTTGAGATCCAACACACATTAGAAAAGTATGCAAAACAGGGGCACCTGGGTGGCTGTTTGTTAAGCATCTGCAGGTCATAATCCTGGGGTCCTGGGATCAAATCTCACATCTGGCTCCCAGCTCAGCAGGCCGTCTGCTTCTCCCTCTCCCTAGGTCACTTCCCCTGCTTGTGCCTGCTCTCTCAAATAAATAAATAAAATATTAAAAAAAAAAAGTATGAAAAACAAAAAAAGTACAACCCATGTAACCACAATCCAGGTCAAGAAATAAAATGTTACCAATACCCCCAGACACCCCCATCATGCCCTTCCCAGTCACTGTACCTTCTCTCCCCACCCCTAGAGTTAACCACAATTTTGACTTTTACATCGACCCCTTTCTTGCTTGATTTACAGTTTTACCACCTATTCATGCATTTGAAATACTGTGGTTTAGTTCTCTCTAGTCTTTGGGTTTTAGCTTTGGGTTTTTCTGTGGTTGCTTTCTTTGAAATTGACATAAATGGAGTTAATACAGCCGAGTGTCATTTTAGGTTCAACATTTTTCGCTCAAGTCATGTCTGTAAATGTAGTTCTAATTAGTTTTCATTGCTGTGGAGTGTGTATAGTATCACTGCTGTATTATATGATCTCACCCAAAATTATTTACCCATTCTGCTCTTGGGGCTCTTGGGAACAAAGCTGCTATGGACATTCTTTTGTATGTCTTTTGATAAACATTGCACATATTTCTGATAGGTATATACTGGTCATAAGGTATGTGTGTTTTTTTAACATTTTTAACATTTTTAAAAACCATATTGCTTTACCACCAGAGGGCCCATGCACGTTCCCATTGCTCTGTGTCCTAGCCACATGATTGTTTCAGCCTGTCTGTTGTGTAAGGATACCCTACATACCTGCATTTCCATTTCCCTCATTACTAATAAACTTGAACAACATTTCATATATTTATTGGATATTCTGTAAAGTTGCTGGTTCAAGTGTCTGGCATTTTTTATATTGTGTTGTCTTTTTCTTATTTGATTTCTAAGTGTTCTTTACATATTCTGGATTTGAGCTGATTGCAGTATATGTGTTGTAGGCCTCTCTCACACCCAGTTGTTTGCCTTTTCACCATCCTAAAGATTCTGCTGAATCTCAGAAATTCTTAAGTTTAATGTTTTCAGATTCACCAAGCTTTTCTTTTCTTTTTAAGATTTTATTTATTTATTTGACAGACAGAGATCACAAGTAGACAGAGAGGCAGGCAGAGAGAAAGGGGGAAGCAGGCTTCCCGCTGAAGAGAGAGCCCGATGTAGGGCTTGATCCCAGGACGCTGGGATCATGACCTGAGCCGAAGGCAGAGGCTTTAACCCAGTGAGTCACCCTGGTGCCCCACCAAGGTTTCCTTTATGATTAATACTTTTCTGTCCCTTTTAGGAAGTCTTTCCCTACCCTAAGATCATGAATATAATTCCCAGTGTTAACCTATGAATTTATCATTTTGCTTTTTATATTTAAATTCAGAATTGACTTTTGGTATGTTTTGAGGTAAGGGATTGATTTTCATTTATTTCTGGATGGACAACCAATTGTCTTACCATTATTCATTAAAAAGATGATCCTTTCCCCACTGCTTTGTGGTTCCACCCTTGTTGTAAATTAAGTGTCTGTTACACCTAGGTTAATTTGTGGACTTTCTCTTCTGTTAGTGTATTTTACGTTGTTTCTGTCACATTGTCTTAAATAATGTAACTTTGTGATAAATTTTGATACTAAGTAGAACAGGGCATTCTATTGTGGTTTTTTTTAAATTTCATTTTATTTTATTGTGATAAGAACATTGAACATGATATCTATTCTTTAACAAATGTCTAAGTGTAAAATACAATATTATTAATTACAGGCACACACTGTACAGCAGATCTCTAGAACTTATTCATCTTATATAACTGTAACCATATACTCCTTGAACAGCAACTCCCCATTTTCCCCTACCCCCACCCTTTGGCAGCCAACATTCTGCTCTCTGCTTCTGGGAGCGTGGCTATTTTAGACATCTCATATAAGTGAAATCATGCAGTATTTGTCTGTGCCTGGCTTATTTCACTCAGCATCACGTCCTCCAGGTTCAACCATGTTGTCACATATGGCAGGATTTCCTTCTTTTTTAAGGCTGAATAGTACTGCGTTGTATGTATAGACCGCGAGCACTTCGGGATTAGCCTGTCAGGCTCCACAGAGAAACCCTTTGAGATTTCGACTGTTACTGCATTTAATCCTTGGACCAGTTTGGAGAGAATGTTACAAAATTGGGCTTTCTGATACATTACCATAGTATATCTATGTAGCAATTCTCAGTTTACCCCTATTCATAGTTTTCTATGTAGAGACCTCAGGTATCATTTGTACATTTATTCCTAGATATTTGATATCTTATGCTCTAATAAATGCTATTTTTTTTTTCAGTTTTTATTTTAAGTTGGCTCCACACCCAGCACAGGGCTTGAACTCATGACCCTGAGACCTGGAATCATACACTCTATCAACTAAGCCAGCCAGACACCCCTAAATGCTGTTTTTGAATAAATTTTATTTTCAGATTTATTGCTGATGTATAGCAATGTATGGACTTAAAAGTTTTACCTTTGTATGCAATTGTAATTCATCTGAGGACTTGTTTAGATTTCTTTTGTACCTAATTACATAACCTACACATAAGTACAGTTTTATCCCTTCCCTTCCAAATCATTATATATTTTATTTTATTTTATTGCATTGCATTGCATTGCATTGCATTGCATTGCATTGCATTGCATTTAGTAAGGCTAGGACTTTCACTAGCTGGAATTGCCACTGCGGTATTGATTAGAAGTAGTAATAGTTGGCACCATTGGTCACATCCCCAATTTCAAAGGGGAAACATTCAAAAAAATTTCTTTTAAGTATGATGTTACACATTGCTAGATTTGGTTTGCCAATCATTTAATTTAGGGTTTTAAATCGAAGCTCATGAATAAGAAAATTCTGTAATTTTTTTTATAATGTCGTCAGGCTTTGGCTATATTTTTAAAGTACACTGGAGAGTGTTTCCTCTTTCCCTACTATCTGGAAGAGTGTTCGTAAAACTAGCAGTATTCATTAGAATTCACTAGTGAAGGGGTGCCTGGGTGGCGCAGGGGGTTAGAATTCACCAGTGAAGCCCTCTAGCTGAAGCTTTTGGGTTTTATATTTTGTTTGTTTTGGAAAGGTTTTTAATTATGAATTAAATCTCTTCAATAACCCTGTTCAGATATTCTATTTCTTCTTGTGTGCATCTTCGCTAGTTGCAGTTTTCTAGGAATCTGTCCATTTCATCAGAATTTCAAATGTGTTGGAAGAAAGTTGTTTTTACTATCCTTTTATGTTTTTGTGGTCTATAGCATACGTAGTGATGTCTCCTTTTTCATTCCTGATATTTGTTACTCATGCCTTCTCTTCTCTTCTTAAATTGGACTCTCTAACATTTATCTATTTTTAATACTCTTTTCAGATAGTTTGTTTTCATTATCATTTAGTTACCATGAGTATTTCCAAATATATAGGGATTGTTTTCTTTATTAGAAGCTAGTTTTTATTTCTAGCTGATTACCTATTCTGAATGATTTCTGCCATTTGAAAATCTTTGCTATTTGCTTTATTTTTGTGAATAGTTTTATGAAATACCACTGGGTGCTTGAGAAGATGTGTATTTCATAGTTGTGGGGTATGGTGCTCTACATATTACCATTAGGTCAGTTTTGCTTATTGTGATATTCGAATCTTCTACATATTTACTGTATTTATTTGTCTGGTCTGTTACAGAAAGAAAGTATGCTAAAGTCATCCCCCCATTAGTCAACTAATGGTTGTAGATTTGCCTGTTTCTCTTTCTGGTTCTGGCAATTTCTGCTTTCTATATTTTGAGTCCATGTTACTAAATACATGGAAATTCGGAGGTATTTTATCCTCCTGGTAAATTGAAAGTTCAAACTGAGTTTACCTCTTCGTCTCTAGTAATGGTTATTGCCTTAAAGCTAAACTTGACTGGTATTATTGTAGCTACAATTTTCTTTTGGTTATTATTTGCATGATAAATAATATCCCATCCTTTTCAACTTTCTGTTTCTCAGTGTTCTACACCTGACTTATAAATAACAGAGAGTTTTGTTTATTTAATCAGAGTTTACCAATCTTCATCATTAAAAGCACAGTGAAGATATTTACACTTATTGTAATTGAGTCTGAGTCCATGTCAGTCTTTAAAGGTTATTAAGTCTTTAAACAACAATTTTCCACATTCCAAAAATAGCTCATTAACACCTATGAGTTTAAGAAATTTATCCTCTCTGATTCATATACAAATGTGTAGGGATTTATGAAATCTTCTCATATCCTATTATTTCTTTGACTGCTGTATAATGAAAAGAGATCCAGGGACTAAAATACACTAAGAACAACATATCTAATTTAGCCCTTTGGAAATTTTGCCTGCAGCTATTGTCTTTACTGTGATTTACCTAATTCCAATAACACAGCATTAACAATGTATCTCTTAATATATCACTTTTATAAAATACTATAAAGACTTCATTCTTGATTGCAGGGCTGTGATTCTCAAATGAGTGTGTCAGAAATGTCCTGTAGTGAAAGTACATCCTCATGTCAGTCTCTTGAACATGGCTCCGTTCCAGAAATTCTCATTGGTCTGCTTTATAATGCCACCACTGGAAGACTATCAGCTGAAGTGATAAAAGGCAGCCACTTCAAAAATTTGGCAGCAAACAGACCACCCAGTGAGTGAAAAAAAAATTTTTTTTAATGCTTATGTTTTCTGCACTTATGGGACTCTCAGCGTTAGGGGCCTCAATCCTATCATTTAGTCTGAACCGATCAAAATGAAATGGTATAATCATCAGCTAATCTGTTTCATGTTTTCTATTTCCAGTCATTTGGGAAGTAGAAAAATTTGAAATTCAAAGTATTAATTGTAAGGTGACAAGACTTTTAATTTTTCATAGTATCTGCCGAATAAATTATCCCTATCATAGCCATTATCTTCTAATGGTAGAAAAAGTTACAGGATTTTTTAAAGTTAGTCCTTTTCCACAGATATGGTCAGGAATATGTAGAGCTATTGGTATCAACAGAAGAATGATGTGGTGTTTTCAGTCTGCATGCAGTACTATGAACTAATGCAGTAATTCTGTAGTTTTTCTCTTTTCTCCGTTAAGAATTTAAGAAGAAACTGTTTCTTCACATTTTTTCTCCTTTAATATTATAAATTAGTACTGCCAGCAGAGTCTTTTCTTAAATGGCTTGGCTTTGCCTTTACCAGGACAAACAAAATAAGGAATAGTTTGATATTTCCCCTAGGTGCGAGGAGAAGAAAGCAAGATGGCATACCTGTGCCCTGGTCTATATCCCTGTCACTCCTCCCTCCTTATCCCTCTTCCTGCTCCTGAGGGTAGAGGCAATTATGGGAGTGCACAGAGATTGTCCCTCAGTAGATCTCCAAAACAGTTTGTCAATATCTGTGGAAATAAGTTGGGAACGTAATAGATTCTTTATACTTCTTTGAAATTAAGGCTGTTACTGCCCTAAGCTCAAAATTTGAAAGGAAATCTTGAATAGTAATGGCCACCTTAAGTTTGCTCAAAGATTTCTCACAGAATATTTTACTCCGAGTCTCAAATAATTATTGGAGGGGAAACTTTTTCCTCCCTTGAATTAAATTAATTCATTGACCTCCAGATGTCCTCCACATTGTCTTTTTAATTCAAGTGAAAAGTCACAAAAATATATTTGGTTTTCCCTAAGTAATAATGGAAATCTGGCTTCTTACAGGTATTATGAAATGTATCTATTCCTGAATTAAAAATCAGAAGGCCAGAATTATGTGTATTTTTCTACCCTTCGATGAGTAACTGAACTCCCCTGAGTCTGTTTCCTCGTATGTAAAGTTGAGGTTGTGTCTGTCACAGGGTAACTGTGAGACTCCAATCAGGCAAAGGTGCATAAAAGAAGGATGGAATTATTATTGTCCCCTTTCTCCTTTCAGAAGGAAGAATTCAGAGGGAGGAAAGAAGCAATTACTAGAATAAACAGCTTTGGAAGTGGGACCTTGGTTCTCTTTATTGATACCTACTTAGAATGCAAACTCAAATGGTCTGGGAAGTTACTTAAATGAACAGACTTGGCAGGTGAAAGATAAAGAGAATGAGGCAGTGACAAATGCAGGCATGCATACCCTGCCTCAAGACACTCAGATTCGAAACTTCTGAACACTGTAACGGATAAACAAAATATCATGTGGGGTCACATCCTGCCAGCAGCTCTCAGCTTGCCATTCCTGCTTTAGCTAACAGTTTAATTTTTGAACAAATATTTAACTTGAGATGCTAAAAGCTAGCAGAATGGAATGATATGCTTGCCTTTCTGTCCTTGCTGGTAACCACTCTGACAGAAACAGAGAAACTGGAACTAAAATGAAGAGAGGGGGTGGAGGCAGGGTGGATAATAAACGGGTTGAGAGATTAGCATTCGCAGCTTAGCGTAGGTGTTTTCAGGTTAAAGAGCAAGTTGGAGAAATTACCATTATTTTAGAATCAGATCTTCAGTATCAGGGTGATTAATGGTGTTCGCTGGGAGGCAGCTAGTAGGTAAATATAAGTTAACATTAAAATTAATTGTATGAAGTGGAATATTTATAAAGTAAAATAGAATACAGTTTTATCAGTCTGTCTTATACTGTATATGTTATATAAGATTGTGACCCTTCATAGATGCCTAATTCTAGGCTTTGAACTGTGTTATCAACTGAAAAATCCAAAGAAACCATGGGAACATTCAAGAGCAAAAATTTTGATAGTCCTATTTTATTTTGTTTAACTTAATTATTTATATTACATTGAAAGCAATAGAAGCATTTGAAATATTTAATATTGCATGGATAGACTTCAAAACTTAGCATAATAGTAGTTCTATAATGACTTTTATTCAGTCTTTTATATAGTCTAATAATTTGCATGATTCTATGTTCAATGTGCTTTAGACCAAGAGGATATCATTATAAAGATGTTCCCCCTTTAAAAGAGTGTAATTTTTGTTTAAGATTACACAATGACCTTAAAAATTCGCATTCCATGAAATTTACCCAACAACCCTTTTGTTCAACCCCTCTACCTGAATTAAAATGCTAAAGTTTTGTGTTCTTCCAACTCCAGTGAACAGTGTTTCCTCTTTAATTCTAACCTTTGACCCTCTTTCACCCAACAATTGACATCTGGTCATTATTTCTTTTACTGCTTTCCACCCCCTGTTGTCAGATGGACTGTTCTGTTGTCTAAAACACTTGATAGGTGGACAGGTTTATATAATCCGAGGTGAGTTCCTGTAGAGGCTAATTGGATGTTGTCTTTTCATGCAAAAACAAAATACCCTAAAACTTGCCAGCAGTGAAGCTGTCCACCATGTTGGTTTCCAAAAAAATGCACATTTATTATCTGTGGTACTTTAAATAAAACTAACTTAGAATTTATCTCTGATTATGGATGATGGTATTCAGAGTATGTAAAAATAAGCAAAACTTTTTAAATTAAAGGTTTTATTTTTCATGTACTGTATTTTGATTCAGACAATAGATATTTCATAAGAAATATTGCGATTTTCATTAAAATTAATTGAAATTTTAATATGAAGTACACATGATGGATCACCATGCTGAAGATCATTTGCATGAGTCTAAAGAACCTGAAAACACAGATGTTTGAAGAGAGGGTTTATCTCCAAAATAATCAGGCAATGAACTGTTATGTTTCACTTTGTACACTAAACATCACATCAATTTTTTTTGTAATTCATGAAAACAGTTAAGAATACCATACTTTAAATTTCACATTAAATTCTGCCAAAAAAGAATCCTGTAGTATTTATTTTAACGATCCAAAAAGCACATTAAATGTATTCTTGCATGAAACCAGGAGAAAGTTTTACTTGATTTGCTAAACTTTGAGCCCTTAATGCATTTGGCTTCATTTTGGCCCTTTCAAATGTTTTTAAAATATATTTAAAAACCACATCCATGCAGAGATTTTTTTGACATTTCATCCTAAGCTGTTTTGATGTCATCTTTGCATTCTTGTCTTCTTTTCCTCTTTACCATTTGCCTTCATTTCTATTTGTTTGTTTATTCTTTTTCTCTGAAAACACAGTGGAATGCTTTACAGTGTTGTGGCTAATTGAGCTTGCTAAGTGTTTATTAATGCTATGATGTCCTGCTTAGTGAAGCTAATTGGGGATGGGGTTGGGCAGGGGTGGTAGTGGGAGGTCAAGGATTGGGGGTGGGAGGGTGTGGAGGAAGGATTATGAGGTATACCTTTAAATTGTAACTATGACATAGAAATAGTGAGGTTGAGATGTTATGACCCACAAAAGATTTGCATTCTCTGTCCTTGTCACATTTTATAAGCATCTACATCAAAATGGAATTCATTGAATTTCCATTAAACATGGTATACACCATATCCTTATAAAGACTCAGTGTTCTCAGCAGATGTCACAAGAAAGGCGTTTTGAGTTTGTTTCAAATGATATCTGTGGTATGTTGTTCTTTTTTTCCTGTAGATACGTATGTCAAATTAACTCTCCTGAATTCCATGGGTCAAGAGATGTCCAAATGCAAGACTTCCATCCGCAGAGGGCAGCCTAATCCAGTATACAAGGAAACTTTTGTTTTTCAAGTGGCCCTATTTCAACTTTCTGATGTGACACTCATACTGTCTGTGTATAACAAACGCAGCATGAAAAGGAAAGAGATGATAGGCTGGATTTCTTTAGGTCTCAACAGCTCTGGAGAAGAGGAGCTCAATCACTGGACTGAAATGAAAGAGTCGAAAGGACAGCAAGTGTGTAGATGGCATGCGTTACTAGAGTCATGATGAATAGGATAACTGAGCAATTACAATCCGAGGCAGCATTATCTCTGATTGCAGCATTGCTATTTTTACCTAGTCACCATTAGAAGAGCTGTTCTCTGAAGCGTCATCCTCACCATTCTACCCGAATGCTTTAAGGTCTGTGGAAAGAGCATCTAACACTGACATCAATGAAGAAACGATGTGTCTCTGGTAGAGCTTCTTGGGGAAATGAGACACTTGCATCATCATTGTTAACAGTCCTCCAGAGCTTTAAGAACGTGCTTTTGGTTTGAACGTGCTTTTGGTTTGAAGTTAAGTTTACTTTAGCAAAAGAGTCAGTAATTTCGTGGAAAAAAAAAAAATAAAAACTGTGATTTTTTTTTTTCTTTAAATCAGAATTTTTAGTCGCAGCACTTTTAGGATTACCCTAAATGTTAACCAGGAAACATATTTTGACTGGCTCATCCCTAGTGTTGGAAATGTTTCTTAATCTGAAAAAGTACATGAGGCACATCTAATGGTAAAGGGTTTCAATTACATAGAAAATTGTTTTATTTCAGATATTTTCCCTTTGTGCACTTAGTTTCATTGTGCCTCAGTTCTTCTCAATGGCACTCAATCTCAAGTGCAAGCAAGTGTTCATTTTCATAAAGGAATTTTTTTAATATTTATTTTTTAAACAAAGCTCATTTCTTCATTTGCCTCTGCTTTCGCCTGATCCAAAGAGACCCAGTCACTGGACTGGTCCCTTGCAAGTCTTTTAGACAGGTTGTACTGTAGAACCACGTAACTTTCTGTTGAAAGCACTTCCTGTATTCTTGTATTCCAATGTAGGAAGCTAATAGAGCAGGACTTTACTTTAAAAATTTCTTTCAACAATTGACTCTTTAAAATTGTAGTAATGTGAAGATACATTTTTTACCAACTAAAAAAATATAATAGATAAGCTGTTGAAAATTGAAAACAGCTCAAGTTAAAGAAAATCTTAATTATCTGCTCTGAGAATGGAGTGACCAACACTGCATAAAGCAGGTAGCATTCTGATAAGAAACTGTTCTCTCTAAATCTTCTTCAGTCTTACTTCAATTTGTACTTGTGATCTAAAGACTCTCCAGTTCTCAGTTTGAATCAAAACATCACGTTAAAAACAGTTCTGAGATTCCTTATGAAATTTCTAGTGACCTGTGACTAGATTTTATGAAACTTACAGATCCGTTCTTCAACGTGACGTCATCCTGTGCCTTTCATGTAAGTTACATTTGCTCATACAGCTTGAAAGTTGTATTTGCAATATTAGGCCTTCGATTTTTATAAATGTAAAGATTCCTCAGAACAGTGTCACAAGATCTTTATTTCCTCTAAAGTATGTAAAAGTTGTATAATGTGCTAATTTTTTTAAATGACAAGGCATTTTCATTTGTTGTTTTTATATTTAGGAACTCTTATTAATCAGGAATATTATAAGCTGTTTTCTTTTTAATTTTGCTTCTTACCCAGTATATAATTTTATGCATATACTTTATTAAATAGAATGTTTTGTATATATGAAAAATACTTTCTTTCTTCTCTTTCTAATTTCTAATTAAACTAGACAAAAACATACTATTTACCAGTTACTAAAAAGCAGCATACCATTATTCCTAGTCCCAACTAAGCACTATATATTATTGTAAGCAAGGACTTGTTATTACCAGGATAACAAAACCATGCATAGACATTATTACTTCGGCTTGGCTCTACTGAAAGGCCTTAAAAGAAATCCAAAAAGACCGTGAACTAATATTTTTTAGTTTAAAAAATGGCAGCTCTATGCCCTCATATACACTAATTATAAGATAACCTACAGATGCTATATTGGGTGACATGAGGTTTAAGAACGTATGTTACAGAGTTACATGAAAGAGAAAAACCCATTCTTTTATTACACAAATGAGCTTTTTCCAAGGTTTTTTTTATAAATTAGTTAAGTTATAAAGCTAGAATGTGCATCAAATAGTGAAATATCTCATATACATTATTTTCAGCAACAGTATGGAAAGAGATTTGAAGGTGGGTTGTAGACCTTAGTGAGAAATTGGATTTAAGCATTTGAGGCAAGGGTCTTTACTGGCTTTGAAACAACTGACTGCATTGCTAAGAACTGGGATCTTCCTAATGGAAAGAGTTAGTCTTATTGGTAGCTGTAACAAAGCCTAATCAATGGTCACATCATGAGACCAATGTAGTGCTTTCTCCTTCAGTGATGAAATGACCTAACTCGCTGTTATTTGCTAAATCTGGCTTTCTTCAGACTCTGCCGAGAACTGTGTGTGTTTTGGTATATCATTATGAAGTTATCTGGTATAGATATCAAATCCAATATGGCTTAAAAATTAATCAACAGATTTAAAGGTTTTCAAGAAGGACCCTACCTCTACCCCAGCTGCCAAGTTCTCAATGATAATGAGTTTATGTGTATGTGTATCTGTATACACACCCATGCCTACGCGCGCACACACACACATGTAAAGGTGAAGGTGCCCTGGCTTTTTCAGATAACTAATTAGAGAACCATTTATCAAGTTTATGGATTATCTTTCTCCTGTATATATTTACTAAAAATTATATTTGGCTTTGGGTGCTATTTGCTACCATTCTCCTCTACACACAGCAAAATATGTATCTTTTTATCTTGTGGATTGACACAACTTAGAGTAATTACTCCCCAAAATTTGTCTATTCTTTTAGAAAAAGATTAAATAGGTCTCGAGAGACCCACTTCACTCTACTGAATCTAATGTACAAGACAGTACTACTGCTCTTTTGTGTGCTTAAATTTGCATGAAAGCATAAAGGCAAAATCCTATATCTCAGCAATTTGCAGCAAATAGGGGCCCACCAGTGGGCAGCAGGTGCTGTCTCAGAAACTCGAGAAAGACAGCCCACTTTCTTGTTCTTCTCTTAAAGTCCCCTAAGTTTTATAATAAAATAAGATAGTCCGAATATAGCGATTGACTGGCATTCATGGGAGCTCCTGAGCCTGGAATTACAGGCTTTATCTGTCTCCCAAATGAGCCGCAAAATGTAGTTGTTTATTACTGCCCAGGAAACAACGTGTATTTCAAATCAGAAAAGAATTTGTTTAGTAAAATATCATCTTACCTTTCAGAAGCTTTCTTCTATACTCTCGTGTCTTCTGTACTGTCCACATTTCGTGTGAAATCCATTTATTTGTCTTCTTACTATGCATTCTGTGAATTCTCTGTAATGTATTTAGTGACAAAAATAATCCATCAAACTACAATTTTAAAAAGGAAAAACCAGGAAAATATTGAAGCTACCTTGATTAGTACACACATGTTTAAGTGTAGGGCATGGTAGGGTGGTTTCATCCAGCCTCATGCAAATCAATGCCCAGGGCTACATGATAAATCATTTTCTTGATATACCATCATTATTTTCATTTACTTAGCAAGTGAATCAGAAGCATAATCAATGATTGCAAGGTAAGGCAGCATCCGAAGGATAAGAGGTCATAGAATTGAGGGTGTTAAGACGAATATGGAGACCAAGTGAGATCACAGCTTTTCAAGTGAACTGAGAGGCTATTTGAAGTTTCAGATAAAGTAAGAAAAGTAATCACCAACAAGTTTTTTTCCTGACATAAAAAGAAATAACACAAATCCACTGGCCTAACATTGCCATTTGCCTACATGGACTAGATGGCTGATTCGTAGAGATTTTTCTCATCGATGGTCATTACATTATTTCACACTGATTGTTACCATCCAGAAGTGTTTATTTCTTGTCTTTCTCCATTCACCACCCCCCAGTTCACCCTGCACTCCAGCCTACACTGGAGGTAGCCATCATTATCCCCACCGGCCAAACTCAATATTGAGCAGAAAGTTAAACACACAATGAAACAGTTTTTAAATTAACTTCTAAAACATCATCTGTGCCCACAAAAAAATGTATAATAGTAATGATGGTAACTGCTATAATTTATTAAGGTCTATCATAATAATTTATTATTTTGATTCTCACAATAACGCTATGAAGCAAATAATCTTTACAAATTTTATGGATGAAGAAACTACAGCATAGGGGTTAAGCAGACTTGTCTAAGGTCATCCAGTAAGTAAATAGTAGAACTAAGATTAGAACCTAGGTATATATTACTCTAACACCTATACTACACACATTGCAATTGTACCTGTCTGTATCAGTTGCAAGAAAAACAGGAAAACATTGTTATTTATCAGTAATTCCACCCACCTTAATGGGATGGCAGAACTAGAAAAAGAGAAAGAAAAATCAGAGCTTGGGAAAGAGAAACAAGACAAAGAAGAAAATAAGATCAGAGATCTCCCTTCCTCCCTGCCCCAGGATACAAGTGGTACTTCTGTGTAATATTCTGTAGATGACATTTGATTTCCAGAGACTTGGAGACTAATTTACTCTACAAATTTAGCCTATACTTACATTCTGAAAATATGCTAAACAATTTATTCTGCTCCCTGTCTACAACTTTTGGGAATCCAAGGTATTTTAATTGTATCTGATCACCTTTCTATGAAGGACATATCTTGTATCCTTTAGCAGGTATCTTGCCCCTTTCAGTGGTGAGAGAAATGACCCTGTCTTCCTCTGTGCTCTCCTTGTAATTTATATTTCTTACATACCTTTTATTAAGGTTTAACTGGATTACATGTATTTCTTTCTTTCTTAATAGCAGTAAATGCCTTGTCTTGCTATCTTTATGTACCCTTGCTCATAGTAGGCATATAATAAGTACAGAATCAAACTAAATTTCTTCCAGAAGTCAATAATACTGTTATATAGGTCTTAATTTTATGACTCTTATGTAATGCATGGATTTATTTATTCCTTTATTTCATATATTTATAAGGGTACCTACTATGTGTCATGTATTGTTCCAAGTGCTACAGATGCGGAGGTAGGGTATGAGAGAGACAAAGTCTTTCTGCTCTCATGGAGCTTGCATTCTAAGGTAGGAAGACAGCCAAAGAAAGATAGGCATTTAGTAGAGTACAACTTGGGATCAGAACAATCTTCCTGGAGAAGGTTACCCTTGAGTTGGATCTTAAAGAACAGACACAAGGAATATATTTTCAAAATTTGAAGCAAATGTACTATGACCCAAACTATGGTGTTTAAGAATTATTTCGAGAACTTAATTTGTATTCCAAAGCCCTGCCTCCAGAGATGTTTGTTTCATTTGGTCTGGAGTGGAGTCCACAAATCTACATTTTATTAAGCTTTCCAGGAGATTCTGTGTGAGATAC